ATATATATATATATATCTCCATATGCTTGTCAGATATATATATATATATATATTTATATATATATATGTCTGACAAGGCATACGAATATACACACACACACACATATATATATATATATTCACATGCATGTCATATATATGTCAGACATATATATATATATATATATATATTCAGATGCCTTTATATATATATATATGAATATATATATTCATATGCCATATATATATATATATATATATATTCATATGCCTCGTCAGACATATATATATATATATATATATATATATATATATATTTATATACACACATGCACTGATGAGTTGATAGTCATTTTATTAAAATGTTATTACATTAAATTAATAAAAATGAAAAGTACCTCTTTTGCTCTTTTGTTGATTAAAACACTTTCACTGTTGTATTGTTGATATTGATCATTATCATTTCGAATGTGTCTTTTTTTATGCCTTGTCAGACCCGACCTGGACTTGCACTCTCTAGTGCATGTCGGGCATTCAAACCATGCCATTACGAAACCGTCATATGCAATATACTGTTGCTGTTGGTTTTAGTATGTATGTTAGTGTATGTACCTATTTATGTATGTTCATACATACATACATACATACCCACACCCACACCACACACACACACAGACGCGCGCGCGCAGATATTTCCTGACATATGAGAGGACTGATATCATGTAACAGTTCAGTACTCTTTTCTCTGTAACGACGTTTTTTTCTGTTACTTAATTCTCTGCTTAGCTTTTGAAAGGCATCTTTGGCTATTCCAGTGGCGACTTCTGAATTCTGTGACGCAAAATCCGTCTTCTCAGATATTTAAATTGTTCTTCTTGTTTTGATTTTGGTATCTACAATTTGTAATTACTTGATTTCAGAGGAAAACATGGAAAATGTCTTATAAAATACAATGAAATTTTTCACTTTCCAAAATGTTTGTTTATACTGATATTATACATATATGGAAAAACGAGCGTGACGTCAGAAAAAGAGGAAGGGACATATGTGAAAGAAAGAAAGAAAGAAAGAAAGAAAGAAAGAAAGAAAGAAAGAAAGAAAGAAAGAAGGTAACGAATGTTAGAGAGAAGTGAAAAGAAAGAAAGAAAGAAAGAAAGAAAGAAAGAAAGAAAGAAAGAAAGAGAGAAAGAAAAAAGGCGATAGATTAGAAGAAAGAAAAAAGGCGGTAAATTAGAAGAAAGAAAGAAAGAAAGAAAGGCGGTAAATTAGAAGAAAGAAAGAAAGAAAGAAAGAAAGAAAGAAAGAAAGAAAGAAAAAAGAAGTCTACTGATATATGTAAATTGTAAGAAAAAAAATGCGCAACCACTCGAATTCGAGGATGTCTGTCTACTAGGGTGATTATCCAATCCCCATTGCAGATGCCTGCTCAGGCACATTTGTGTTTGATCAACACCTACAGAGCCCACTCGTGGCTTATACTGTAACAATGCTGAGTGGACCTTAGTAAGAGTTTGTGGGAAAGAGCGCGTTATTTAGCGTGATCAGTAGTTTGAACAAGGCTAGCCAGCACTGAAACCCTCAGTCACGATGACTTGAGACTTCGTGCTGGCAAAACCACCATCTACTCAACCACACATCTACTGCGAATTTTTCTAAGCTCTATACTAAAC